GGGCATTAGAGCGCCACACACTAAGCTCCTTCAGCACTAAGTTCCATTTTTTTTAGGTGCCACTGCAAGCTCTAAAATGGCTGATTGGGCGCCGCCTAACCCCATAGGTGCCTAAACTCACTCTGCATCTATCTTATTGCAGTAAAATTGCTTGGGCAATGATATTTTGGCCTCTGGGCATGCACACTGCTGTCTCGCCCTAGGTTCCAAATACTTATCTACCACAGAGCAATTCACAAACTAGGAAAGCAAGAAAAAACAACAAATGCTCTGGTAGCAATTTATAGACTAATAAAACATGTGGATGGTATCATGAGCTTTCGTGGGCACAGCCCACTTCTTCAGATGACTGGAGTTTTGAGTTTAGGATGTGCAGACCCAAAATAAATAGGAGAGAAGTGGGGGAGAGGAAAAAAGGAGGGAGGTGGGAGACAAGGAGCAGAGGGTATGGAAAATCAAAGGGAAAAATAGGAAGGCAGAGCTGGGAATCAGTAAGCACCTGAAAATTAGATGAGAAAAAATGAAAAAATGAGGAAAAACGGCTCTTGCGCAAAAATGGCCCCTAATTAATTAGGCAAATGCAGTGCGGCAATATGCTAATCTGCACTTCATTTGCATAGGCTTTTGCGCAAAAGGGATGAAATGTAGATATAGCCCTAGGCTACATCTAGACTGCAAGCCTCTTTCAAAAGAGGTTTTTTTCAAAAGATACTTTCAAAAAAAGCCTCTTTCGAAAAAGAGCATCTAGACTACAACCAGTACTTTCGAAAAAGCAAGCCGCTTTTTCGAAAGAGAGCACCCAGATAGTCTGGATGCTCTCTTTCGAAAAAGCACAGTTTGCATTACATAGCACATTTTCAAAAGAGCACTTTCAAAAAAAGGCGTTCTTTCCCGTAAAATGAAGTTTTCTGCGGTTGAAAAAACTGCCGCATTCTTTCAATTTTATTCGAAAGAATGCAGGAGCGGTCTAGACGTAGGGGAAGTTTTTTTTTTAAAAAGAGGCCACTTTTTTGGAAAAAACCCTGTAGTCTAGACACACCCCTAGTGTACAGTTTCTTTACCATTAAGCAGGAAATAATGTGGAAGTGAACTATGAGAAAGGGTCAAGGTAGAATCCCTACAGTGAAGCTGCCTGTCAGTCACATGGAGGCTAACACTATTATCCTTATTCCTTGTTGGACAAAAGTGACTCTCTGTGAATGTGACCGATGGCAGATTTCCCCCCCCACACACACCCCCCCAAGCAGCTACTTCCAGCAGAGGATTAAAGAACCAATTGCTCATCCAAATCAGCAGAAAAGCAAGGATTCAAAATTGTACAGCTTTGTAAATGCTCAGTTATATGGCCTAATTTAAGTAATTGGTTTTCATTGCCTTCAGTGGGAATTACAGCTCCTCAGCACACCTTAAATTTCAGCCACTTTTATTTGGGTGCCTCATTTAGTAATCCATGTATAAATGTTGTCCTTTATCTTCTGGGTAAAGATGATTGAATGAATGATTACCTCAACTGGTCACTAGGGGACACTTTGCTTCTTAAGTACTAACTTCATGCTTGGCCATTTCACATGTTGGATGGAGCTGCACCTCTACAATTTTATATCTTATAGAAGATTAAAATTACTTAAATCTTACAGGCATGAGTATGGTGACTAAAAGAGTAAGCATCTTAAAACAGTTTGTTTTACTTGCTTAGAAACGGGCAAGAATTTATTCACTGAAAGCTAATATAAATAAATATAGAAAATTGTGTCTTTTTTTGGGAAGATATAGAAGCCAAATTCTGCCCTCTGGTGCACAGCTAGCTTCTGTTATTGACTCTGACACTGATGCACAATGATGTTTGGCAAGTCACTTTATCTTCTGTTTTTTCAGTTTTCCCATCTTTAAATCAGAAAAATATTCATGTCTTGCAAGTACTGTAAGATCAGTTGAAATATTTCATAGAACATTGTAGCAAACTATCTTATAGCACAGTACCTATATGTGAAAGAATACCTTCTATATGGAACAAAGTAAATGATTTCTCAATGGGTGAATTATTCCTGTATAGCATATAGTTCAAGCTATCCCTATCTGATTCTTTTCTGAAAGAAATAAGAACTGTGCATGCGTTTCTCTTCTATGTATTAAATACTTCTGTGGCAACATGGTCTCACATGTTTCTGCCTGGAATTAGACTTGGACAAACTAATTCAGGGAACATTTAAGCAATATACTCCTAAGAACATAAGAATGGCCAGTCTGGGTCAGACCAAAGGTCCATCCAGCCCAGTATCCTGTCTGCCAACAGTGACCAATGCCAGGTGTGCCAGAAGGAGTAAAATGAACAGGTAATGATCAAGCGATCTCTCTCTTGCCATTCATCTCCACCCTCTGACAAACAGGCTAGGGACACCATTCCTTACCCATCCTGGCTAATAGCCATTAATTTACTTAACCTCCATGAATTTATCCAGTTCTCTTTTAAACTCTGTTATAGTCCTAGCCTTCACAACCTCCTCAGGCAAGGAGTTCCACAGATTGACTATGCACTGTGTGAAGAACTTCCTTTTATTTGTTTTAAACCTGCTGCCCATTAATTTCATTTGGTGGCCCCTAATTCTTATATTATGGAAATAAGTAAATAACTTTTCCTTATTCACTTTCTCCACACCACTCATGATTTTATAGACCTCTATCATATCCCCCTTAGTCTCCTCTTTTCCAAGCTGAAAAAAAAAGCTAAACAGAAAATTATTTAGAAATAAATCATAGTTGTTTTTTTTACAGAGTGACGAGACATTGTAGCGCTTCTATTATACACTGCAAAAGTAACTACAGTCATATAAGTTATTGGGATAATAAAATACATCTTTCATCCTTCTAGCCTCTTAAATCACTTTGTGTAATTTTTCTTTGTATTGTCTATATCTAACTGATGAGTTGCTTAGAAGGGAACAAAGTATTCCAACTATGGTCTCCACAGCCAACTTCTTCCCCTCTCAGGTTTCAAGATATCTGCCTGTGGATATGCTCTGCTTTAGATTTTTAAAATTAAGATGTGCCATAACTCTGGCTTTCAAAAGCACCTCCTACCCTAAGCTGCACTGGCTCAAAACATTCACTTCAGAAAAAAATCAACCACATTAAGAGTATGGATTTCAAAAGCTTCTAAATGATTTACATTAAGTGGCACTTGTGGTCCTAAGTAAGTTTCCTCTGTGACTGCCTCGCCAGGCTCTCTTCTTGAGCTTTCAGTCCGGGGGCAGTATGTGAGCTGTGCAGCAGGCTGACCGTCAACAAGCAAGTTAAGTAACACATGTGACTACATCTACACTACAAGGTTTTTGCGCAAAAACCGGCAGAGCGTCCACATCTCAAGAGTCAATCGACAGAACAGAGGGCTTTTTGCGGTGTGGGTAAACCTCCTTTCACGAGACATAACTCTTTTGCGCTACAGCTCTTGTGCAAAAAGGCAAGTGTGGATGCTCTGCAGGGGTTTCTTGTGCAAAAAAGCCTATCCGAAAAAGCACAGGTACTCTGATGGCCATGACTGAATGTCCAGGGAGGTTAAAGTGTTCCCATTCCTGATGTCTGATTTGTGTCCATTTATCTTTTGGCATAGAGACTGTTTGGTTTGGCCAATATACATGGCAAAGGGGCACTGCTGGCCCCTGATGGCATAGGTCACATTAGATGTGACATGATTCAGAGCTTAGGTGGATTTGAAAATCCCAGTTTGTAGAGTGAGGTGTCTACAGTATCTGGAGAATTTGGTCATGTTTAAATGGTGGTAGTAAGTGACGAAATAGCTTAGAGGATCTGAGCTTTGTTATTTATGGTTATAATTAAAAATAATACTTTACACATATAACTAAAATGCTCCTGAAATCACAAATAAAGCTAAGGTTGTACCAGGATCAAGTCCTGAAAGGCAAAACATATCGGAAATAGTTACCGGTAAGTGTGTTTTGGGTTTATATATAATGCTTTGAACAGCTGTTTAGTAGTTTGAAGGTGGGACCACTTGTGTCTTTTCCCTCACCCCTATTCTTGTGTATCTTATTATGGTTGCCAGGCTATTTTACAGAAAGAAGAGACACCACCTACCACCACCATGCCCAGAAAAGGCAGAACTTTTATCAACTTAGTACTTCTGAGGATGAGCACAGTACTATTAGCACACCTCTTCCTTGAACTAACCTTCTCTCAAATAATATTTGCGATAGAATCTGTCAATTAGATAAACTCTATTGGTATTTGTTTAAAGAGCAGGAGTTCAGAACTGTAACCTTGTGCAACACTTGGGATCTGTGGTGGTATGAGGAATGATGCTTAGTTATAACATAAAAAATAAGCAACCACTTTCAGTAGTTACAGTCATATCATACAAGTTCAGTTTAGGGTCAACTTTCCCCTGAGGCAGATAAAGATAGTACCACACAGTTTCATTTATATGGGACTTTAAAGAGAGGTTCTGTCAGTTCTACAAAAACTATAAACATCTGTATCCATGCAGGAGGAGGCATAGCTGAGACCAGTGTCCTTGGACAAGTTTTCACTCCTCTCCCATGTAGTTGCTTCTCTCCACCTTCACTATGGCTGTATTTCATGGGTGCTGTTTCTGCAATTTGAAAAGCACTTTGGGATTGTTCAGCATTAAAAAAAAGTATTAATGTGGTTACAGCTCATTCCAATTTGACAGATGAAACAGCTTTAAGCAGAGTAACTATGAAACACTTCAATGAAAATCACTGCGGACTCATTCTAAGAATAAAGGAGCGGTTTGATGGCAGGGAAAGAAAGTTAACGAAAATGGTTTGGGTACCAATTCCACTTTTGAAAATGAGTCTCAAAATGGGATTTGTTTGAGGAGGGAGAGGAAGGGAGAAGACTGTTGCTCTACTTGATACCTCAAATCCCTGTGTGGTTTTCCTTGCATATGAAGAGTGTATAGAACAGTTCTGACTTCAGTTCTGCTAAAGTAAGATGTACACTGAATAAAACCCAGTATGTAGAATATTCAAAAACTGCACAGCTTTATAAATTAGTCACTTCTTTGGTGATGCCAAAGTTCAGAAAAACACTCAATCACCATCTTCTTGAATTTAATGAAGTTCTTTAAGCTACTATTAGTAATGTCATAAATCACATTGCCATAAATGTCATTCTTACATTTATAATTTAGAAGTATGGTTTCAGTTCAATGCTAATCAAAGGAACACAGTTACATACGAGAAAAGATCTGTACAATTTTTAATGGATCACTCAAAGATTTTACTAATTCTGTCCACTGATGTGATAAAAACTGCAGCATTATTAGGATATAACTTTCATTAAAAATGCAATAATAAGCAGTAAGAAGTTTTAACAACTATGGAACTGTTGACTTCCAAGATCAGTTCACACGCCGTAGAATTTTAAGAGAAAAATTAATCAAAATTATGGCTTTGAGGAAGGTAGAGACAAATCTGGAACCAGCAGACAGGCCAAGACTTAGCTGGGTAGGGTCACTGGCCTGGCCATGTTATGTGTGTTGCAGAAGTCCCCATTCATCTTCCCCAAGACCTGAACTGCATGCCCAGGGTTGAAGCACCTCTGCAGCTACAGCTACTCCATAGGAGACTGTCAGTAGATTCTTTGAATTCCTGCTTTCCTCCTCCACCTCTAAATGAATTAGGAGTCCAATGGAGCAAAAATGTATGGAAGCAAAAGGTTCCCAAATTCTGTCCCTATTTGCAGAAGAGGTTCTGTGAAAGTAGGACTTTGAGGTCATGAGGGAGAGGCTCAAAAGCAACTCTGGGCCAAAATATGTTCACTTTCTACACATTTTGGTACTATTTATTCCTCCCTAGTATATCCCACATGTCATCTTATTTTTTTCAAAGGTTCTTCATGTGAATAGTTCAACCCATCCCCTTTCATGTTCTGAAATAGTAATACCACTGCCTACTTCAACAGTGACCAGTTTCATAATAACAGTATTATCCTGAAATCTGTTCAGCATAAGACTGATGCGCTCTCTTGAAAAACAACATCTCAACATGCTTTAAACAAATGACTGATACCTATTTTCTTTGCTTACTGCTGCCCTGCCAGACACAGTGGGTTACAATCTCCCAAGAATGAGAGGTGTACCAGAAGCCCAAGCAATGATGCTGAATCACCAAAACAAGCTTCCCAAAGATCAGATAGTGAAAAGATCTAGCATGTCTGCTAATGCAGAATTTTCTCTATTTCAATTCTTTTAATTCCATAAAAAGCGAGTGATTATGGAGCTAATTATTATTTCCATTGGAATAACAGATTTAAGATTCATTCCATCATATGAACAGCTGATGCCTTCCGCATAAGTCGCTCAGTCAGTGGTGAATTTGGTCTCAACCCATCACGTTCTGCCAGGAGGCATCTGAAGAAAGGAAGGGAGGCAGGAAAGGAAAAAAAATAAACAAACAAAAAAACAGGTCTTAAATACAGTGCTCAAAATCACAGAAGGAGGTTTTTGTTTCCTGGTTTAGTAGTTATGTGTCATCTGAAATATGACTTGCTGCAGCAAATAAGATGGTTAATATTTTAGTCACTGGAACTTTAATGTGGATACAAAACTGCTCAAGAAAGGTTAAGTCCAAAGCAGTTTGTGAAGAGTTTCAAAGGGATCTCACAAAACTAGGTGACTGGGCAACATAATGGCAGATTAATTTTAATGTTGATAAATGCAAACTAATGCACATTAGAAAAGATAATCCCCAGTATTTGTAATAAAGGATGGGGATTAAATTAGCTTTTACCACTCAAGAAAGAGATCTTGGAGTCATCATGGATGGTTCTCTGAATATATCCACTCAACTGCAGTGGCAGTCAAAAAGGCAAACAGAATGTTGGGAATAATTAAGGATAGGGAATATCTTATTGCCTGTAGATGTGGTCACCTCATCTCAAAAAAGATATCTTGTCATTGGAAAAAGTTCAGAAAATGGCAACACAAAAATGATCAGGGGTATGGAAAAGCTGCCTTATGAGGAGAGACTAATAAGACTGGAACTTTTCAGTTTAGAAAAGAGATGACTAAGGGTAGATATGATAGAGGTCTATAAAATCATGACTGGTCTGATAAAAATGAATAAGGAAAAGTTACTCTCTCAGAACACAAGAACTAGGGGTCACCAAATGAAATTAATAGGTAGCAGGTTCAAAATGAACAAAAGGAAGTATTTCGTCACACCAGTCAACCTGTGGAACCCCTTGCTACAGGACATTGTGAAGGCCAAGTCATTAACATGGTTCATAAAAGAGCTAGATAAAGTCATGGAGGTTAGGTCCACCAATGGCTATCAGCCAGGATGGGCAAGAATGGTGTCCCTAGCCTCTGTTTGTCAGAAGCTGGGAATGGATAATGGGGAATGGATCACTCGATGATTACCAGTTCTGTTCATTCCTTCTGGGACACCTGACACTGGCCACTGCCAGAAGATAGGATACTGGGTTAGATGGACCTTTGGTCTGACCAAGTAGGGCCTTTCTTACGTTCTTATGAGTTATCCAAGGAAAATCAGTGTAGAAAACAGAACTGCTATGTTTTAAATGCCCATATTGCATGCCTTGACTACAAATACCATCCAGCAGATAAGAGCGTGACCTCCCCTTTTCCATTTCTAACCCTCCAATTGTTCCCCATTTCCAAAGCCACATGGTACTGAAAATAGCACAGCACATTAACTCTGTGAGGCTGTGCTAACCAATCTTGCTGTCTTCCTACAAGCTCCCATTCTACCACTACCAATCCTCTCCTGCTCTGGTGCCTCACTTCATAACCCTTAACCATAACCAACATTTGAAATAAGATGTCTCATACGCAGACTAGCCACTCACATTATTTTAATATTCCTTCCCCAACTTTGAGGGTAAGTTTTTCTGGCAAAGAGATAAGAAGAAAATGAATAAAATGGACAAAAATCTCTTCATGCCTGGGAGGCTGGAATGATCATCATAACTTGAAAGCTAGGGGCCTGGCTCTCCACTCATTTCCACTTGTGTTAATCAGGGCTAACTCCAGTGCAGTCAGTGGAGCTACTCTGGTGTCAGACTAGCGAAAGAGAATCTGATCTTAAGGCTTCAATTCTTTCAGCAGGCCTCAATATGGGCACAGGAGTTTGCTACTCTGCTCATGTGAGCAGCTCTTGTGCTTTCCAATAAAACCAGAGTGTAGGACGGAGAGCTGAAATTTGGCTCCACAGTAACTGATAACTAGAACTGTCAATTTAGCTGTTACAATGAAATGCCGGGGGGTGGGGGAGGGAGAGACAGGCAGCGTTGGGAGAGTTGGGCTGCACAGTGCTCCATCCAGGACAATGAAACCCAAACCCCGAAGGCACAAAGTGTAAGGGAGAGGCTACTGTCCTGATGGGACAGAGACACCCCTCCCCGCCCCCACCCTCACCCCCGAGCCAGGTCTGCAAGGAGGAGAAAGAACCCCAGGCCACCCCACTACTGACTGGTTCCTGCTCCACTGCAGGGAGTCCTTTGCAGCTCCACCGTCGACAGCCTTGCCCCACACCTTGAGCCTGCAGGGATCAGGTGTCACTTGTCCTGTGGCCCTACAGGGAAGGGGCTGTGAGAGCAGGGCTCTCTGCATGGAGGTGGGGCCAGTGACACACTCAAACTGCAGACAGATGGTGTTATGGAGGCTTTCGTTGTCCAAGTGGGAGAGGAGGTCGTCCCACTTCTGCACAGCTCCTGGCCCTGAGTCAGCTCGCACACTGGTGTGCCAGTGGGGTAGTGACACCTGGCCCTTGTAGGCATAAAGTGTAAGAAAGGTTGCAGACCTGACCCAGTGGAGCAGAGGCCCTCCAAATCAGCACTGTCAATAGCAGGAGACAACCCTGTTGCTTGAATAGCTCTGTGCCTGGGCAGGAGCCATTCAGCAACATGGCAGCCTCCTCTGTAGCCAGAGATTCACCCTCTTCTTTGCAGTCTGAGCTGGGACTCTCTGCTATGCTCTGCCAGGATCCCAACCTTTACCACAGTCTCTTGCATTTGAACTAGTCACTGCCAATGAACTGACAACATCGACCAGTTCAGCTGAACCAAGTTAATATTTGACAACTGCTGTAGATTGTGCCATAAAAGATTAAATGGAATACTACATTGCCTTAGTTCTGCTGGCATATAATTGTTCTTACAATTTACAATATTTAAAAGGATTGGCAATTTCTGCTTTGATGAATACTATTTCTACTGATCTAGATTCTGTGATAATGTTCTGCTTTGATGAATACTATTTCTACTGATACATTATCACAGAATCTAGAAGTCCTCATTTTAGCAAGAGGTACTTACCTGGCCAGGTTCTGATGGGCTTTTGATTTGCAATTCAATGCAGCATGGATTAATAGTTGGTTGAAAACATCCCTCTAATAAGAGAAATCATAAAAATGAATGGAAGTTAATATTTAGTAATAAATGCTGCAAACAATTGCTTGGTTTCTAGGGGCAGTTAAATCCATCCACGAGGAATCTGCTTCTACCATCACCATTAAGCAGTTGAGACACAGTATTTATTATTGATAAATTTTTCTCAATTATCACAAATTTAGAAAAATAAAAATAAAACAGAAGTTAAAACCCATGTTACTGAAAGAGAAACAAGCCCTACTCAAATGCAATTTATTAAAATAACCATCAGCCTCTTTACCTGAGCATTACTGCCTCCTATCTGTAAGAGCTGGTAGCGAATTGGATGAAGTAATTCTACTGTCTTGTCATAATTTCCGTTGTCAAACTCTGCCAAAGCCTGGCAAAGCGGCAACCCCAGTTTCGGAGCCAGCCTCAGCTCATGGTCTTCACCAGGTGCTCTGCAAAACAGGAAAGGAGTTAATTGCCAATTGAGCAGAAGCTCAGACTTTAGCTCTTGCACTCTTTTATGGAGCTATTCTGTCATCTCCTGTAGCATGATATTGTAGGCAGAAATTAATATCAGTGAATTTAACGAACAGTGAAACACGGAACCAAATAAAAAAACCACAAACACACTAAATAAATGTAGAGGTTACTTACATTTCAGTAACTAATGTTCTTAGAGATGTTTTACTCCTAAGAATTCTGCACTGCAGGATGTGCATGCCTTGTGCTCTGGACATAGAAGGAGGTGCAAGCCTACTGCCGCCGAGTTCCTTCTTTACCATGAAGTTGGAAGGTCCACAGAGAGTGAAAGGAAGGTGGAACATGGAGCACTCATTGCGACAAAACATCTCTAAGAACTCAAGTTTCTGAAAGGTAAGTAACCATTCCCCTTTGAGTATATGTCCCTATGGGTATTCCATGGTTGAAAATTCCAAAGCAGTGATTCAAGTCGAGTACAGTTTGTAAGACAGAATCACCAAAGGGGGGGGGGGTGTCATCTTTGGCAGTGATAAAATGGCATAATGCTTGGCAACAGTTTGGAGAGAAGGTCAAGCAGCAATCCTGCAGATTTCTGCTATGGGAACATCCTTCAGTTGAGATCCAGAAGTAGGCTGAGTGCTAGTAGAATGTACTGATAATCAGGAAGGAAGCTGCACACAAGCATTTTCATAGCAAATCATGCAACTTACAACTTACTTAGCTTTCGGGTGGAAATCAGTTGACCCTTCTTCCTTTCTACACATGACACAAATAACCTGGAAGAGACTCAAAGGTTTTAGTCCTATTTAGATTTAAGACAAGGGCCCTTTTGATGTCCAGGGACTGAAGACTTGATTCCTCTGAGGAGGCATAAGGCTTTGGGCAAAACACTGATGGGAAAGCTCCTGATTAACATTATATTCAAAGGAGATCCTTGAAAGAAGGCAAGAGGGGCATCATATGAGCCTATTGTCAGTGTACATCTGGCCCACATCCATCCAGGGCTTTACAGTCTTTGTCCATCTATTGCAGCCAAATTCCTGATGGGCCTAGGCAGCTAGTTTGCTCTCATTTGACACTCAGTTCCACAGTGGAACCTCAGCCTTGATCTAAATGCCCTAAAGAGAGCCCCCTTTTGAACCAATGGCTGTCTGCTCCCTTCTCAACCTCTCCCTCAAAATTTAATTCCTAGCTGCCATTACTCTCAGCAAGATGAATGAGGAAGCTGGGAACGCTCATGACTGACCCACCTTGGACAAGGAGAGAGTTATGTAAGGTGCAACGATTGGAATAGTGTTAATGCCCAGCCTGCCCATTTCCAAGTGAACCTCTTGGGCAACCAAGAGAAGCCAGTTGTCCAAGTATGGGAACACTCGTATTCCTTCAGAGCAAAGGAAAGTGGCTGCCATTGAGAAAATCTTTGTGAACACCCTCAGTGTGCGGTACACAGTCCAAAAGAGAGAACTCAGTATGGACAGTGATCTGCCCCTACTAAAAAACATAGGAGGTGCTCGTGTGAGGGGCGGATGGCTTAATGAAAGTAGCTGTCCTGTAGGGTGAGGGCAATGAACTAGTCTCTTGGCTCCAAGGATGGGATTATAGTAACTAGTATCACTATTCTAGGGTGTTGTGCTAGGACACAGTTGTTCCCGACTTCAGGAACTGGAATTGGTCTCCACACGCCATCTCCCTTGAGCACAAGTAAGCATCAGGAACAGAACTTTCTTCTAATGAACTCTAGTGGAACTGGGTCTATTGCTCCCAGAAGGAAAAGACAATGAACTTATTATCTAAGGACTTCCCAGTGAGACGCATCCGTGAAGAGGATGGAGCGGGAGGAGTGGAACGGATGCGGATAGAGTAAGAGGTGGGCAAAAATTTTTGCTGGGGGGGCCACTCAAAGAAATGTGGAAAGTGGTCAAGGACTGCGCTCTTTCATGATATTAATGGAGGAGGTGCAGGGTCTGGGATGGAGATTGGGTGCAGAAGGGAGCTTGAGGTAAGGGAGGGTGTTTGGGTGACGGAGGCATTGGCCCATAGACAGGTAAGGGAGGGTGTTTGGGTGACGGAGGCATTTGTGACCTGAGGCAATGGCCCATAGATACTGCTTTGCAGAGGAGTGCACACACCCTTTCCTGAATCCACAGGGACATGTACTCGAAGAAGAACCTTGTTCTGATGATGGTGCTGGTCATCTGAAGAAGTGGGCTGTGCCCACAAAAGCTCATGATACTATCTTCATGTTTTGTTAGTCTTTAAATGCTACCAGACCATTTGTTGTTTTTTAAGTTTATCCTGTACAGACTAACTTGGCTACTCCCCTGAAGCTCTTGTTTGATGTGACTTTAAAAATTTTGAAATCTCAAATATTTTAATTGGACAAGTGGAAACATGCTTTCCAGAGCCTCTTTTGACCTCAGTAGTTAGTCAGTCATCAGTGGCGTTGCAGATTATTTCCATTTCGAGGAGAAACTGATAAGTAAGGCTAAGATTCAGTCATAGATAATCATCAGTGAAAAGCAAAAACTGGCAACAAACAAAAATTCATGGCTTGTGACCTGTCCATGATTTTTACTGTAAATACCCGACTGAATCTTAGCTGATGGCTAGCCCCTAAGCTCGTGACAGGCTGACTCCCCCTGGCTGCTGGAGGCCCACTGGGGCTACGTCTATACTGCAGGCTTTTGCTGGCAGAGAGTATGCTAATGAAGCATATTCTCTCTCCGAGGCTTTTTGCACAAGAGGTTTTTGCGCAAAAACAAGCAGGGTAGATGGGTCCATTTTCGCAAAAAAAAAACTTTTGCACAAGATTTGCAAACCTCCTCTCCTGAGGCGTAGGGCTCTTGTGCAAAAGTCTGCAGTGTAGACATAGCCTGGGACTGCTGTTGCTTTGGCAATCTTTGGGGCAGCTGGCACCATGGGGCAGCTGGCACCACCACCCTGGGGAAACTGCAACTGTGGAAGTCAGAGGTCCCAGAAAGTCAGGTGATCCACGACTTTAATGACTTCTAGGATAGACTCGCAGCTTTGGTAAGAAAGTCAGATATTTCTTGATGCAAACCTGTTTATTAAAAAGAAGGTACATAGAGAGTCATGTTTCACTTGACACAGAAGGAAATTAACAACATATAAAAGAAGACAGGTTTTTCTGCTCTACTTTCCCAATCTTTTTTTCCAGACAACACTCTGTTCAGAAAGCTCTCTCAGATTTCCCTCAGGGTCATGCTACAAGTGCTTTTCTGGGTGTCTCTGGCTTTTGGTTGCCTTGTCTGTCAAAGTGCTACTCACACACACCTACCCACCAACCAGCAAATCTTAGCATCCACATAGCTCAGTTTCTGACCAGTTTTGCTTATGGACTATGTTTTGGGAATGGTTCCTATTGTTTCTTTTATCTTACTCCAAGAGAAACCTAACACATTCTTACATTATCCTGAATAAAAGGCAGGTTTTACATCCAGTAGCTTCCACAGGTTTCAACCTCCCACAGCATAACACAATAGAGAATTTTGTTTGAACACCAAGATCCATCCAAGAAAAGAGAAAGAGTACACAGATTAATGACCCAATAAAATAGTTTATTTATTAATACAGGTTGTTATCAATTCTGAGATGAAAACAAAGGGAAACAAAATTAAGCTCTGTCTTACGGAACATGGGTTTCTGTTTAAAATTTAGGTTTTCGGTTGTCAGTTGAAGCATTTTCTTAGCTTTCTATTTATTATATATTTGTATAAGTACTTAACACAACTTAACACTATGAAAATGGAACGCTAAATTTATGCTCCTGAATTTGATTAAGGGACTAACAACAAAAAGGTAAGAAACAGTACTCCTAAACTGCTTGGAATGTAAGCTAGTTGACTCTGAATTGGTGTGGGTGTCTGTGTCTGTGTACATAGCATCTAATACAGCCGAGTCCGGTTTCATGAGTAGAACTTCTTGGCACTTGAATATAAATAATAAATAATAATAATAATGTGGCACACTAACTTTATGAAAAGTCATAGGGTAAATTATGTACACACAGACAATTTATCTATTTGTTCAAGAACCCCTCCTAAACAGAAAGATCTAGAACCTCTAAAATCAGTATTCAGATTCCTCTTATCATAACTTAATACAAGGTAAGGGTTTGATTGTTCCAGGACAATGACATGTGCCTGGAAGGGAATTGCTTCTCATAAAACCATACAGAAGAGAGACAATCACCAAGCAGGTCAAAGGGCTAAGCTGGTGGCATGCCCCCTACATTAGGAATGTGAACTACTAGTGAACTAGTCGACTATCTGATAAGCAAATGCTATCAGAAAGAGGCAACAAGGCAGGGGGAGAAGAAAGGGTGCTTAAAAGTGGCAGCACCATGTGGAGCTCAGGGTCAGACCCCTGGCTCCACATGGCACTGATGCTTTGAAATGCCTCATGCAGCCCAGGGCCAGCTGGGAGTTCCAAAGCAGCAGAGCCATGTGGAGCCCGCAGTCTGCAGCTTTGAAATGCCGTGTGCAGCCCGGAGTCCCCAGCTGACCCCAGGCTCCATCTGGCGCTGCCACTTTGAAACGCTGCAGAGAGCACAGAGTCAGCGGGAGACTATTTGAGTCCCCCACTAGTTCCATGCTCCCCGCAGCGCTTTCATATTTGAAGTGTAGCAAGAGCCCTGGGGACACTACTGGCTGTTCCCCTTCATCAGAGAGTGAGGGGAAAGTGCACAGTTTGTTGCATTCCTCTCTTTGGCCCGGGAGCATAAAGAGCAGATGAACCTGGACCTGCCCCAGCCAGGGTACATACAGTCCTGCCCAAGCTGTACCTGTAGAGCTGCAGCGGCCATAAGAGAGGAGCTTCTCATCTGCCCCCAAGCTGCATTATTGAGAGAGGACTGGAGTAGTCCTCTCTCCCCGGGGAAGCCAGCACACTGAACCCCTCATCTTCAGCTCCACCCCAGAGCAAGGATTTTTATTTTATTTTCCAAAAGCCAAAAAGTAATTGAGTTAAGGAGCCAAGTAATGCCAGGTAAATCTTTTAGTATATCTACATCTATATCTATACCATATACAGCATGAGAGAATGTACAAACTTATCTTTAAAATATTCAAACTCATCTTACATTTTTAATAGAAAGTCATGAAAATACAGAACAGACTGTTGGTTGCTTTGAATGCTATGGTTACTCTAAAATACAACAAAGTTGCTAAAATAAGTAATGTATCTTATATTTTTCATAGTCCTATTTATTCATTTTGGCTTAGTAAACATCAAGTTTAACCTGATATTTAGGTTTTTAGATATTTTTGTGCCTCTCAAGATCTGTTTTATAATGTAAATAAAATAAAAATAAGTTTTACTTTATTGGGTCAAACTGTTGCCATGCACAGCAATTACAACAATGACAAAGTTGCAATAAAATGTAAAGATAAGGAGACAAGCAGAGGAGAGCACTGTAATACTTGGTGAAGGGTTAACAATACTAAGTGTAAACTCATTAAATGTCTTACAAAATATGCATTCACTAAAGTTTAAGTTCCACAGCACGTACAGTAAGTATAAAAAAAGAAAAAGAGTCCATCATGATCTGCTTGTAGTAGGCAAATCCGATTTTGTGGTTTTTCAACTCTATATTTTTTTCCTCAATCGCTTTTAAGCCTCAGAGGATAATATTCACAGAATGTGAATCAGAGTGGTTCTGCAACTTTATGTCCAAAACAAAATTCATCAACACTGGATATTAAGGTTCTATTTCTCAATTATTTCTAAACAGAGTAAAGGCATTACTATTCTTTGAAAGACTGTTAGTGAATCCAACAATTCAATAAGTTGCTTACAACCATGACTCATCTAACACTTTCTACTGTTGTACTTATCTTTCACACACACTACTCATGTTAAAAGCGTGTTACAAACATCACTCAATCACTGAGGGTATGTCTACACTACCCTGCTAGTTCGAACTAGCGGGGTAATGTAGGCATACCGCAATTGCAAATGAAGCCCACGATTTGAATTTCCCGGGCTTCATTTGCATAAGCAGGGTGCCGCCATTTTTAAATCCCCGCTCGTTCGAACCCCGTGCCGCGCGACTACACGCGGCACGAACTAGGTAGTTCGAACTAGGCTTCCTAGTTCGAACTACCGTTAACGTAGTTCGTGCTGCGTGTAGCCGCGCGGCACGGGGTTCGAACCAGCCGGGATTTAAAAATGGAGGCGCCCAGCTTATGCAAATGAAGCCCGGGAAATTCAAATCCCGGGCTTCATTTGCAATTGCGGTATGCCTACATTACCCTCCTATTTCGAAATAGGAGGGTAGTGTAGACATACCCATAGTAACCTTTCATATACCATTTATAAATGGAGCCATAATATAAAGTGAGAACACTCTAACCCCACTGCCCTATTATGTAAGGTTTGTAAAGGCCCTGCTATCATCTTTCCAATGCTATGTGTAAACAATCTATATTTAGCAAGTTGTGTGTCATGTGGAGAAGGGTTGCTTTCCCCCACCCTTCAAAATACAGATAAGCACGTCTCTTCCGCAAACTGAAAAACAAATCACATGCTCTCCCGTTCCTTTGTAAGTGAAAACAGCTGCCACGGTAGGAGTCTACCTATTTGCCAGCCCTCTCCATTTCCAAGTGTTCTGAGATACCTTCATGCTACAATTATCTTGCATCTGGCTCCAAAGTTCAAAAGTAACTAGCACTAATTGGCTATGCACTGAAGAAAGAAGAGAATTCAGTTTCACCCACAGAAAAGTTGTATACATGAAACACAACCAGGAAAAATGAAGTGGACTATCACGCTCATACTACCTGTAATGGCGATCAGTAGCAAAATAAGAGCAAGACATTTTTTTTTCAAAAACAATGACATGGAAAATGATTTTTCTATTCTGATGAAATGCAAAAATATTAAAATTATAACTGAAGAACTCAGTTGCTAAATCTTAGCAAACTTTGACAGCCCTTTAAACTCCATTTCATGTGAAAATGACAATTTTTTGTAAACTTAATAACAAATTTTAGATGGTCAGTGTGGACACTTTATAGCTATCTGGTCATGAATAATGAACACAGAACAATGTTTTAGAATTGATGCATCAGAGCAAGAAGGGTTATTATAAGTAGTTGGCTTATTTTGTAAAGTTTTTTTTATTACTTTGTAAGACATGAGCAATGAACACATACATCCCTAGTACACCCATTATAAGGAAAACAATCCCACTTACAGGTTAAGATGCCACAACTGCTCAAAGCAAAAAACAAAAAACCTCTGCAATGCTTGGATGAGGATACTGCTGTTTGACAAGATTAAATACATACTCTAGACAATTACACACTCTCACAAGCAAAAGTAATTATTAGGAAATCCTTATTGTAAAATTTCAGAGACAACACCCTACTGACACCAGAGTTCAGGCTAAAACAGCCTAAACCAGAAAAAATATTATGGTACTTAGCAAACTGAAAGCAATTAATTATAATTCTAACAAACCTTGGAAAGGGAAAATATTTATTCAGAACAACATTTTAATTCATTTTCTTACTTGGCAAGTTCTTGAAGAGTTGTTAAAAGCTCATTGGTGGTTTTGTGATCTTTGGCTCCTAGCGAAGACATGAGAATGTGGACATCATTGAAAAGCAGAACATGGTCTTTGGTGTGTTTCTTTGTGAGTTGGATAACTTCATTCCACCTGTCTCCCACTTTTACACCTATGAATAATACAGGTGATTCAAAATAAACTCCACTGCAAAGTAATTTCTTTAGCATATGTACATACTTCCAGTTTCATTCCGTTTAGAAGCTTTAAAAACCAACTCTCAACTCAGCAGGCTTTGTAAACTACCCCTCAATGCTACATCTTCCACTTTTGAGCAAATATTTTATTGCTTATCTCCAAAAACACCATCAGCCACTAGTGTCCTGCAACTCATTAGATATGGTTCAATCCTAATCATGCAATAGATGACTCCCTCCAAACACAGATGAAGGAGGATAATGCCTACAATTGTTATTCTGTATCCCTCTGTGGCATTTGATTACTAATACTGGGCTGAACGTATAAATGTATGCAGCATGACTGGCTGTAACAGGGTTCTGTAAAAATTACTATGTACAATTTAGAAACAAGTCTTTTTTTCTGGAACTCTAAATTCAACTTGACTTTGGAAAGTTAAAATCTGCTGGCTATATATTTAACGTCATGGAACTGTTAGAATGCTTGGCACAATACCTAGAGCAGACTATTTATTCCAAATATAAAAAATTAGAATTAAAATACTAATGTTGATTGTGAGAGCAGTGAATAGCTATTTAACAACTTACATGCATGACCTTTTAAACTAGGCCGAGAAACAGGTCTCTGGAGATAGAGGAAGTAAAATTTGCCCAATAAAGAAAAATATGATCTATGTTAGTTGAAAGGAATGCAGTGCTCACAGGAAATTAACTAACTCTAGAGCGAAATAATGGTAATGCATGTTAATAGAAACTTAAAACTCACAGCTCTTTAAAGCATTTATTCTCCAAAATAACCCACTGCTCAGACTGCTCTATATATTTTTGTAAATCTTCTTCTGCACATTTTAAGAAAAACAAATAGAACTGAAGCAAAACCTAACAATTCTTACCTTCCAATTGAAGCCGGTACAGCATGGAACAGTTATCTACCACATCTAGCATGCTTCCACTTGAGAGGCATCTGGGAGCAATCTGCAATCAGAAAGCATTTTAAAACAACATTATGTATATTTAGGTGCAAAGTTAATTTGAGAATCAGACTTACAATGATAGTTCAGAATTAATTCTGTCTCTTTACTCTTCCAGATATAGCTATTTTGTAACAAACCTAATCACGTCTTTGAGGAATAGAACAAAAATAATATTCATATTATTTTCTCTGTTGTTTTTCCACTTATGAAAATCAAATACAGCGAGTGTGAAAACTACTTTTTCTTATGACCTCTACTTTCCCATAATGGAGCCATAAACTCTACTATACTTTGCTACAGTTACTAGCTAGGACAAGATATTTTCATAAAGTTTAACACCAAAACAGGCATGACGAGACTTTTTATGCTGACTCCTAGTTTGTTTGCTGTGGATTATTTTAGAAAAATTCATCTAAAGATCAAGCAGGGAAGAATTTTAACAAATCACATAAAAAGGAAAAGACATCACAAAGGAAATTAGAGTGAAATTAATAATTATCTGTAGTTACTCTGTGAGTAGTTAATCTGTGAGGTTCAGCCTTAATCATGACATCTTACATTTATAGAAAAACTATTTTACAAAATGTTAAACTTTTAAAATTATCTAAAATAATCTGACAAAAGATAATTGGACAAGTGGTACCAATAAAAATAATTGGAAAACACTAAAAAAGTTGGTTGCTTCTAAAACACAGTATGAACAAAATATAATGATGAGATATAAAAGGGGAGTTGCACTGCTTTTTAAGGTCAACGGTGTAACCTCACATGTATTTTTCTTCGTTAAGTGGAATAATCACTTTAAATACCAATTAAATATTTGAAAATAAAACCAGAAAATGGTATCCCACTTCCTTATATTAGGGATATTAGACATCTATTAATTAAATAATCATGTAACCCACATGAAAACGTACCGATTACAGGGGGGGGGGGGGGAGGGGGTGGGGCGGGCAGCCATTGTGCTCCCGGACTCACTCCTGGGGAGCTCCCTGCCATTCCGTGCTGCTTCCTCTTTGAAAGCCTGTCCTCTCACCTTCCATGTTGCTGCCTCTCTGTCAGAGGCAGCAATGTGGGGGCGTGGAAGGAGAGCCAGCTCAATGGGGTCTGGTGCTTGTGGGGCACCCCATGGGCACCTGGCTCCCCACGGGCACCAGCTCTCACCTCTCCCCACCCCACTGCCTATAGTCAACAGGATTAATGAATAAGCTTAGGCTTGTCAGTTAATTGTGCCGTTGACTACACACTGACATCCCTACCATATATTTGTGTCATATAAACCAGTGATGCACAACCTTTTTCCTGGTGCAACCTCTGGGAAAATTTTGGTTAAGCACCGCCCCTCCTCCTTCCCCCAAAAAAGGCAGCGCAGCCCCTTTAAATGCTACTCCACTCTCCTGCCACACCGGAAAAAAAATGGTGGGTGGCCCTCGGAAGACAGCCGTGGGTTGTGCACTGCTAATATAGAAAATGAGGGATGTGCATATGAATGTTTTAATTAAATCAAAATTGATTTGTACTCACATGATTGTCATAAATTGTCAAAGCTGCTTCATAGTCACCCTGCAAAAGCAAAGGAGGATTGTGTGATGAGCTTTAGGATACAGCATCCAAAAATGACTCCAATAATAACATATTTTTATAATGATATCAGTGATCCCATCAATAAATTTAAACAGGAACACATACAACATAGCCTACCTATTAATTCTTCTTCCTCATATAATCTGGTATCTGAAACAAGCGCTCCCCTACATAAAAACATAGTACCTATTGCAACCCAATTCATTCAATATAAATATATTTGTAAAAGTTTCTATATATCCAAAATACTTTAAACAATATATAATCTCTGATGCATTAAGGTAACAGCCCTAGTGGTCAGTTACAGGTTATTTTTGCTAACTCCAGTCCCTTATGCAAGCAAAATGTGTATTGAATTCAATGGGAATTTTGCATATGCAAAGACTACAGAACTAGGTTCATCTTTCAATCACAAAATTAGTTTAGAATGCGCTTTTAACTAGGGCTGTCGATTAACTGCAGTTAAATCAGGAAATCAACTAAAAAAACGTGATTAACACATTAATCACATTAAAATCACTGTTTTAATTGCACTATTAAACAACAGAATATTAATTAAAATGTATAACATATTTTGGATGTTTTTCTACATTTTCAAATATATTGATTATAATTACAACACAGAATGCAAAGTGTACAATGCTCACTTCAGGTTATTATTTTTGATTATCATATTTACAGTGCAATTACTTACTTGACATTCTTTTAGTGTAATATTTAATTTTGCATCATAGTAATTTCTCTACATTCACATACACCTGATTTTAGATATTTTCCTTCTAAAATATCACTTTGGTACTTTACTGAAGTATTTTTCAAACACCACAAATATATATTAAAAAAAACCATCCAAACCGAAAGAAGGGAGGAAATCAGACCATACTCTTCTTGTCAGGATTGCCTACTAATATAAGAATATTCATCCACCTGGAAGGGATAGCACATAGATGTAGAAGTGTGTTCATCATACCTTTTCAATGAAATACAAAGCCCAGTGCCAGTAATTATGACAAGCTAGCATGTCACAGTCCTGAGAAGAGAGAAAAATATTTTACTTCCAATTTAAACTCTTTAAACTTAAACTGAACCAGCTGATTATAGATGGCTCTATTCTCCTGCTGTGAATCTGAGGGGATAATAGATTGGTGGATCTTGGAACTAAAGAACTGTTTTCTAGCTATAGTGAAAGGACAGGAGACACCTGATAGGAATGTAATGAGGTCACAATGAGGTGTCTTGGACTACCCAGCAGATAATTGTATTGGGTGTAGGCAACCCTCTGTTTATTCTGTAATTACCCTTGTTGTTTCCACAAGCTCTCTCACTTTATCCATTCAAGTTCTGCCAGCACATCTATTGTCAGGACCTTACTATACCTCCAGGGGCTTTTACCATCTTTTTCTCATTTTCCATATAGGTCCTTACAACAAATTCACTGATGGAACATTACCATCCACTCCTTCTTGAAGGAGGGGTAAGACAGGCTATAAGAAATGGTGGATTGACTCCCTTCCATTATAACCACAGGAGCACCAATCTCCACACTACAGGCAGTCCCCGAGTTACTTATGTCGGATCCGCAGTTACAAACGGGGTTTTTCTTGCCCCGGAGGACGGGAGCGGCGGGACACCCAGATGCGCCGCGGTCCCGCCGCCCGCGTCCTCCGGGGCGAGAAAAGCTGCTCCGCGTCTCCCTGGTCTGCTGGGGGGGGGAGAGCCCTCCCCCCAGAAGACTAGGGAGATGTGAAGCAAAGCTGCGGAGCACGCGGGCAGCGTCCTCAGAGGCCTCCAGCAGACCAGGGAGACGCGGAGCAAAGCCGCAGAGGACCCGGGCGGCGGGAACCCAA